ATAAATATAGGTTAGGTTAGGTTAGGTAGGGTTGGTTAGGTTCGGTCATATATCTACGTTAATTTTAACTCCAATAAAAAAAAATTGACCTCATACATAGAGAAAAGGGTTGCTTTATCATTTCATAAGAAAAAAATTAGAGTAAATATATTAATTCAGGAAAACTTGGCTTATTAGGCAAATCGGGCCTTGAATAGTAGGCTGAGAAGTGAGTTCTGGCTACTAGGTACGACATATATATATATATATATATATATATATATATATATATATATATATATATATATATATATATATATATATATATATGCGAACAAGCCTGAATGGTCCCCAGGACAATATGCAACTGAAAACTCACACCCCAGAAGTGACTCGAACCCATACTCCCAGTTAATTAAACTATTTCATTACTTAATAATATATCACAATATTATTGTTTACGCCATTAAATAATAACCAAAAAGTATTGACTGGCCATTATTATAATATGTTGTTACGATTAAAACTATAAAAGGCAATGTCTGTCTCACTGTTCTAGATAGATCAAACTTTGCAGAGTGACTCGTCTTCGGCCGGGGACGGTCATAGTCAGGTCAGGAAAAAAAAAAGTCCCATGCCAAGCTTCAGCATATGTTCCCCCGTTGCATGCAAGTTCCGATCTTGCAACATAAAAGCCTCTAGCAACCAGTGGTTCTCTGGGTACCTCTGGGTCACATACCCCTCTCTCCTTGCCATACCAGGCTATTCGGAACAAAAAGTTGTAAGTAGCACGGGCTATGGAGAGCCCCCTTTGAGAATCAAGTCTAACCCCACTAAGATTACAGGGGCGAAGGGTCGGGAATTTGGTAAATAATAGGGAAAGTGGTGAATGGTAGGGAAGGCGGGAAAGGGTTATCTTGAGATGATTTCGGGGCTTTAGTGTCCCCGCGTCCCGGTCCTCGACCAGGCCTCCACCCCCAGGAAGCAGCCCGTGCCAGCTGACTAACACCCAGGTACGTATTTTACTGCTAGGTAACAGGGGCATAGGGTGAAAGAAACTCTGCCCATTGTTTCTCGCCGGCGCCCGGGATCGAACCCGGGACCACAGGATTACAAGTGCAGCGTGCTGTCCGCTCGGCCGACCGGCTCCCCTAGAGAAGGGAAGATGGTTGCGGTAAATGTAAAATTTGCAACGGTTGCAACTGTATGCGAATACCACCAATTTGCTTATGTGCTCAGCAATAGTCGTCCATGGCTTGACAGATTACAAGAGGAGGTGTACCTGAGCAGCACACGGGTAGTGGAGTGAGGGAGTCACTGTGGGCACACCTTACCCACACGACCTTGTACACCTGGTCGTGAACCACTGGATCGTTAGTATCTCTCACATGACCTGACCACTCTAGAAGACTAACCTTTGGCTCCTACATCAAAGATTTGGTTATAATGTGATTATAGGCTCCAAGGTGTTGATGTCCCACGACTTATTTAATGGTTAACTCCAGTAATAACCATAATAGTAATAGTAGTAGTAGTAGTAGTAATAATAGTAGTAGTAGTAATAATAGTAGTAGTAGTAATAATAGTAGTAGTTGTAGTAGTAATAGTAATAATAGTAGTAATAATAGTAGTAGTAGTAATAATAGTAGTAGTTGTAGTAGTAATAGTAATAATAGTAGTAATAGTAGTAGTAATAGTAATAATAGTAGTAGTAATAGTAATAATAGTAGTAATAGTAGTAGTAATAGTAATAATAGTAGTAATAGTAGTAGTAATAGTAATAATAGTAGTAATAGTAGTAATAGTAATAATAGTAGTAATAGTAGTAGTAATAGTAATAATAGTAGTAATAGTAGTAGTAATAGTAATAATAGTAGTAATAGTAGTAGTAATAGTAATAATAGTAGTAATAGTAGTAGTAATAGTAATAATAGTAGTAATAGTAGTAGTAATAGTAATAATAGTAGTAATAGTAGTAGTAATAGTAATAATAGTAGTAATAGTAGTAGTAATAGTAATAATAGTAGTAATAGTAGTAGTAATAGTAATAATAGTAGTAATAGTAGTAATAGGTTTGAACCCTCGTCACGGCCCTTGTGGATTTGTTCAGTAGTAGTAGTAGTACCTCTTTATTTTAAGGTAAATGTTACCAAGGTTACTCTCCCATGGTAATATTGCCCCCCGGGGGGCGATAAGGTTACTCTCCCATGGTAATATTACCCCCGGGGGCGATAAGGTTACTCTCCCATGGTAATATTGCCCCCGGGGGCGATAAGGTTACTCTCCCATGGTAATATTGCCCCCGGGGGGCGATAAGGCTACTCTCCCATGGTAATATTGCCCCCGGGGGGCGATAAGGCTACTCTCCCATGGTAATATTGCCCCCGGGGGGCGGTAAGGCTACTCTCCCATGGTAATATTGCCCCCGGGGCGATAAGGTTACTCTCCCATGGTAATATTGCCCCGGGGGGCGATAAGGCTACTCTCCCATGGTAATATTGCCCCCGGGGGGCGATAAGGTTACTCTCCCATGGTAATATTGCCCCCGGGGGCGATAAGGTTACTCTCCCATGGTAATATTGCCCCCGGGGGCGATAAGGTTACTCTCCCATGGTAATATTGCCCCCGGGGGGCGATAAAGCTACTCTCCCATGGTAATATTGCCCCCGGGGGGCGATAAGGTTACTCTCCCATGGTAATATTGCCCCCGGGGGCGATAAGGTTACTCTCCCATGGTAATATTGCCCCCGGGGGGCGATAAGGTTACTCTCCCATGGTAATATTGCCCCCGGGGGGCGATAAGGCTACTCTCCCATGGTAATATTGCCCCCGGGGGGCGATAAGGCTACTCTCCCATGGTAATCCCCGGGGGGCGATAAGGTTACTCTCCCATGGTAATATTGCCCCCGGGGGGCGATAAGGTTACTCTCCCATGGTAATATTGCCCCCGGGGGGCGATAAGGTTACTCTCCCATGGTAATATTGCCCCCGGGGGGCGATAAGGTTACTCTCCCATGGTAATATTGCCCCCGGGGGGCGATAAGGTTACTCTCCCATGGTAATATTGCCCCCGGGGGGCGATAAGGTTACTCTCCCATGGTAATATTGCCCCCGGGGGGCGATAAGGTTACTCTCCCATGGTAATATTGCCCCCGGGGGGCGATAAGGTTACTCTCCCATGGTAATATTGCCCCCGGGGGGCGATAAGGTTACTCTCCCATGGTAATATTGCCCCCGGGGGGCGATAAGGTTACTCTCCCATGGTAATATTGCCCCCGGGGGGCGATAAGGTTACTCTCCCATGGTAATATTGCCCCCGGGGGGCGATAAGGTTACTCTCCCATGGTAATATTGCCCCCGGGGGGCGATAAGGTTACTCTCCCATGGTAATATTGCCCCCGGGGGGCGATAAGGTTACTCTCCCATGGTAATATTGCCCCCGGGGGGCGATAAGGTTACTCTCCCATGGTAATATTGCCCCCGGGGGGCGATAAGGTTACTCTCCCATGGTAATATTGCCCCCGGGGGGCGATAAGGTTACTCTCCCATGGTAATATTGCCCCCGGGGGGCGATAAGGTTACTCTCCCATGGTAATATTGCCCCCGGGGGGCGATAAGGTTACTCTCCCATGGTAATATTGCCCCCCGGGGGGCGATAAGGTTACTCTCCCATGGTAATATTGCCCCCATGGTAATATTGCCCCCGGGGGGGCGATAAGGTTACTCTCCCATGGTAATATTGCCCCCGGGGGGCGATAAGGTTACTCTCCCATGGTAATATTGCCCCCGGGGGGCGATAAGGTTACTCTCCCATGGTAATATTGCCCCCCGGGGGGCGATAAGGTTACTCTCCCATGGTAATATTGCCCCCGGGGGGCGATAAGGTTACTCTCCCATGGTAATATTGCCCCCGGGGGGCGATAAGGTTACTCTCCCATGGTAATATTGCCCCCGGGGGGCGATAAGGTTACTCTCCCATGGTAATATTGCCCCGGGGGGGGCGATAAGGTTACTCTCCCATGTTAATATTGCCCCCGGGGGCGATAAGGTTACTCTCCCATGGTAATATTGCCCCTGGGGGGGCGATAAGGTTACTCTCCCATGGTAATATTGCCCCCGGGGGGCGATAAGGTTACTCTCCCATGGTAATATTGCCCCCGGGGGCGATAAGGTTACTCTCCCATGGTAATATTGCCCCCGGGAGGCGATAAGGTTACTCTCCCATGGTAATATTGCCCCCGGGGGGCGATAAGGCTACTCTCCCATGGTAATATTGCCCCCGGGGGGGCGATAAGGTTACTCTCCCATGGTAATATTGCCCCCGGGGGGCGATAAGGCTACTCTCCCATGGTAATATTGCCCCCGGAGGCAATAAGGCTACTCTCCCATGGTAATATTGCCCCCGGAGGCAATAAGGCTACTCTCCCATGGTAATATTGCCCCCGGGGGGCGATAAGGTTACTCTCCCATGGTAATATTGCCCCCGTTTCCACTGAGAAACAAGGTCTCTCTTAACACTTCACTTGATGACGTGATGACAAGTTTATACCCTCAGCTGCCATTACTGCCGGCGGCAAGGGACTCCACAGGAGCGACACACGGGATAAATAAACACCCAAATGACTCCTGAGAGAGACAGTGACCACGACATGAGAGGTAGTTAGCGGTGCCTGGGGAGGGGGGGGGGGGTGAGTGAAGATAGTCATAGTGACGAAGAGACAAAGTAGTGAAGATGACCAGAGTGATGAGGCTGGATCATGTGAAGTTGAAATAGTTACAAACGTCAAGCGAAGATGATGGTGATGATGGGGGGGGGGGGTGGAACACGGGCGAGCAGTTAACATTGTTTCTTGTAAAGATAGTTAAGCTCTTGTGATAGCTCCGATGCTATCATGCTTAAGCTCAGACTTCCGATAGCCTATACTTTAAATTATTATCGTCATCTTGTGAGGATAACCTGATGATAAATCTCATCTGGTGTACGATCTGCTCTTGTCAGTGTTACGGGATGGAAGACATACGAAGCAGTCTCTGACGACGTCTTCATCAGTGTTCCTTGTATCCACATCTGACGACACACAGACGAAAGCTCCCATAATGCCTCGAGAAGTTTGTAAATTAATACAGATGCCAGAGGCATTTATAATGAAGGTAGCCTATTACAAATTCTTGTTAATTCTTCAATATGAATGGCCAGTAAATACCTGATCGACCAGGCTGTGACTCATACGTCAGGCTGCAAGCCGCTGCGTCCAACAGCCTGGTTAACCAGTCCAGCAACGAGGAGGCCTGGTCGACGACCGGGTCACGGGTACGTGTGTGTGTGTGTGTGTGTACTTACATAGTTGTGTTTGCGGGGGTTGAGCTCTGGCTCTTCGGTCCCGCCTCTCAACCGTCAATCAACAGGTGTACAGATTCCTTAGCCTATTGGGCTCTATCATATCTACACTTGAAACTGTGTATGGAGTCAGCCTCCACCACATCACCACCTAATGCATTCCATTTGTCAACCACTCTGACACTAAAAAAGTTCTTTCTAATATCTCTGTGGCTCATTTGGGCACTCAGTTTCCACCTGTGTCCCCTTGTGCGTGTGCCCCTGATTTTGATGATTGTTGCCGCCGAAGGCGGCTAGTTTATTGTGCACCCCATACTCATCCTGTGAGCGGTAGCGCAAAAGCATTACAGAGGGCACAAAAGGTCTTTATCAGACCTCATCTTAGATTATTACATAAACAATTTCTTCAATCCTTCACACCTTATAGATACAATGTCAGCTAGTTACAGAGAAAGTGCTATTACAAGAGCTACATATTTACAGTAAGTCATCATACATTAATGGTAGGTTTTATCGTTAATACATAATAGTTTGGCCAATGGGGATATTACAGAGTCATAGGGGAGCTTCTGTTTATTATTAGTCCTCACAATACACTACTTGTTTCTGAATCTCATATGTCGTTCATCTACTGGAAGCAAAATGTGGGTACAGTGCAAGGATTTCAGGTAATTTATCCATGGTAATAAGATAGGTTGCCATATCATACAGAGTGAGCTTAGACTTATCTCTAAAAGGCTCAATTTTACAACAATCCAAGATATAGTGTTCGAGTGTGTGTCCCTGCCTATGTCCACACACTTTACACTTTACTTCATCTAGATCCCTATACAAGCCGAACTGCCAGAGATACTTGTAGCCAAGTATTATTCGAGCTGTGACAATATCTGTTAGTCTACTGACTTTGTTACTTGCCCCATACACATTTTTACTTCACACATTTCATTGTGATGAACAATGGACCTACTAGTTCCAGTTTGCACTGTTCTACTTTCTTCAAATCCATCTAAGAGTTCTCGTCTAATGACACTTTTAAGGGACGTGTGCCCCTTGTGTTAAATAGCCTGTCTTTATCTACCCTATCAATTCCCTTGAGAATCTTGAATGTGGTGATCATGTCCCCCCTAACTCTTCTGTCTTCCAGCGAAGTGAGGTATAATTCCCGTAGTCTTTCCTCGTAGCTCATACCTCTCAGCTCGGGTACTAGTCTGGTGGCAAACCTTTGAACCTTTTTCCAGTTTAGTCTTATCCTTGACTGGATATGGACTCCATGCTGGGGCCGCATACTCCAGGATTGGCCTGACATATGTGGTATACAGAGTTCTGAATGATTCTTTACACAAGTTTCTGAATGCCGTTCGTATATTGGTCAGCCTGGCATATGTCGCTGATGTTATCCTCTTGATATGGGCTGCAGGAGACAGGTCTGGAGTGATATCATCCCCCAAGTCTTTTTCTTTCTCTGGCTCCTGAAGAATTTCCTCTCCCAGATGATACCTTGTATCTGGCCTCCTGCTCCCTACACCTATCTTCATTACATTTCATTTGGTTGGGTTAAACTCTAACAACCATTTGTTCGACCATTCCTTCAGTTTGTCTAGGTCTTCTTGTAGCCTCAAACAGTCCTCTTCTGACTTAATCCTTCTCATAATTTTGGCATCGTCCGCAAACATTGAGAGAAATGAATCTATACCCTCCGGGAGATCATTTACATATATCAGAAAGAAGATAGGACCGAGTACAGATCCATGTGGGACTCCACTGGTGACTTCACGCCAATCGGAGGTCTCACCCCTCACCGTAACTCTCTGCTTCCTATTGCTTAGATACTTATCCACTGGAGCACCTTACCAGCTACACCTGCCTCTCTCTCCAGCTTATGTACCAGCCTCTTATGCGGTACTGTGTCAAAGGCTTTCCGACAATCCAAGAAAATGCAGTCCGCCCAGCCCTCTCTTTCTTAATCATTGTCATCTGGTCGTAGAATTCTATTAAGCCAGTCAGGCAAGATTTACCCTCCCTGAACCCATGTTGGCGATTTGTCACGAAGTCCCTTCTCTCCAGATGTGTTACTAGGTTTTTTCTCACGATCTTCTCCATCACCTTGCATGGTATACAAGTCAAGGACACTGGCCTCTGTGTGTGTGCGTGGGGGGGGGGAATAGTAGTAGTAGAAACAGTTGATTGACAGTTGACAGGCGGGCTGAAAGAGCAGAGCTCAACCCCCGCAAGCACAACTAAGTGAATATACACACACGCGCGCGCGCAAGCACGGTAAAACCTCCAAGAATGTCTACCATATTGAAGCATCTTGTCGAGTAACTATTGAGCCATTGTCTGTTGCAGCCGTCTCCTGCAGACATGTGGGGACCTGCAGCTGACTTGTGTCAGGACCTGCAGCTGACTTGTATCAGGACCGCAGCTGACTTGTGTCAGGACCTGCAGCTGACTTGTGTCAGGACCGCAGCTGACTTGTGTCAGGACCAGCAACTAACTTGTGTCAGGACCAGCAACTGACTTGTGTCAGGACCAGCAACTGACTTGTGTCAGGACCAGCAGCTGACTTGTGTCAGGACCTGCAGCTGACTTGTGTCAGGACCAGCAACTGACTTGTGTCAGGACCAGCAACTGACTTGTGTCAGGACCAGCAGCTGACTTGTGTCAGGACCTGCAGCTGACTTGTGTCAGGACCAGCAGCTGACTTGTGTCAGGACCAGCAGCTGACTTGTATCAGGACCGTAGCTGACTTGTGTCAGGACCTGCAGCTGACTTGTGTCAGGACCTGCAGCTGACTTGTGTCAGGACCAGCAGCTGACTTGTATCAGGACCGCAGCTGACTTGTGTCAGGACCAGCAGCTGACTTGTGTCAGGACCAGCAACTGACTTGTGTCAGGACCAGCAGCTGACTTGTGTCAGGACCAGCAGCTGACTTGTGTCAGGACCAGCAGCTGACTTGTGTCAGGACCAGCAGCTGACTTGTGTCAGGACCAGCAACTGACTTGTGTCAGGACCAGCAGCTGACATGTGTCAGGACCAGCAGCTGACATGTTTTAACAGTGCAGTTTTCACTACCGTGTGTTACATAATGTCCCAGTGGAGTGCCAGGCACTGCTCCAGAGTGCTGACATCTCCTGGAACCTGTAGGCCTATTTTCCCGCACATTTCCAAGCCTGGCGCCATGTGAAGTGCTCTCATGATTTTTGTTTTGAGATATATACAAGAGTTGTTACATTCTTGTACAGCCACTAATACGCGTAGCGTTTCGGGCAGGTCCTTAATCCTATGGTCCCTGGAATACGATCCCCGCCGCGAAGAATCGTTGTTACAACCAAGTACACATTTTACTGTTGCGTTACACACAGGCTACAGTTAAGGATTTGCGCCCAGTAAATCCTCCCCGGCCAGGATACGAACCCATGACAAAGCGCTCGTGGAACGCCAGGCGAGTGTCTTACCACTACACCACGGAGACTGGTTGTGTCAGGACCATTGCTCCCTTTCGCAATATGTGGTTCGTAGTTGATCGAAATATTGTTCCAGGTGTACAGAGAGAGGGAGAGGAGGAAGTAGAGGGATCTCTGAAGAGAGGAAAGGAGAACATTGTGGACATGTAGGGGAGGAGGAAAAGGGGAGGAGAGAGGGGGGAGAGGAGGGGAGAAAGGGGAAGAGAGAGGGTGGAGACTGAAGAAGAGGGGAGATAGGAAGGGAAGGAACTATCAGGGGGAAGCACCAAGCCATTACGACTATATAGCACTGGGAAGGGTTCAGGATAAGGATTTGGGATGGGACGGGGGGTGGGGGGGGTGGGGAGGAATGGTGCCCAACCACTTAGACGGTCGGGGATTGTATCTCCCAATCTATATAATCAAGAGAAATTGGCTGCTAGTTACAGCCTCGCTCCTGTGCCAGGTAAGTCCACTACGGGCTCACCATAGCCCATGCTACTTGCAAGTTTTGGTTCCTAGTAGCTCAATCTAAAACAAACACACACCAGTCTGTTTGACTGTTATTTGTCCAAAGTTGGAGGACAGACACTTCAGGATAGTCTCACACAACTGTGCAGGGTGAAGGGTCTGTGGTATGGGACAGACACAGGCTGGTCTTTGTCGATCCTATTGCTCCCGTTAGGAGGGGGTGGGCTCAAATAGTAACTCACTCCCCCATAACACTGGTCTACAACCGACCTTCCGAAGACTGCACAACCAAAGTGCAGTCTTCAGAAGGTCATCAGCTTCTGAAACAAATGAGTCTAGTTTTCATCCGAGGCGAGCCTTAAAGCTCTTTTGCTGCATAATAGAAGTGTTTTGCCGTCAATTCCATCGGTTTCTGCAGCCCACCTGAAGCCTAATGACAACACTAAGCAACTTTTGAGCTGCATAACCGATGGCCAATATCAGTGGCAGCTCTGTGGCGGGTTGCAGGTTGATGCTCTCGTGATGTGTCTGGTGGCTGCCCACACACACACAGTACTGCTGTTTATACTGTGAGTGGGAGAGTCGTGTGAGAGGCTCCCACTGTACATGGGAGACTGGCCACTCTCTCCATCATGAGAGACTGGCCACTCCCTCCATCATGGGAGACTGGCCACTCTCTCCATCATGGGAGACTGGCCACTCTCTCCATCATGAGAGACTGGCCACTCCCTCCATCATGGGAGACTGGCCACTCTCTCCATCATGGGAGACTGGCCACTCCCTCCATCATGGGAGACTGGCCACTCCCTCCATCATGGGAGACTGGCCACTCTCTCCATCATGG